CCCCCCCCCCCCGAAATGACCTCTGAACTCATGCAGTTTTGTAGCTGTTAACAGCATACAGGGATCAGGCACGCCTGCTTTTGCCAATAGGTGGTGTGGCAATTAACTCCCTTTCCCCCCTTCTATACTTAGTTAATGAGCATGCTCAATGCTTGTAGCCTTCCCTAAAGGAAGCTGGGTATTCCCAGTAGCCAGCAGTTCAGCCTGGCCCAGAAAGAGGCAACATCTTGGGGAGAGTTCTATATAGACTTTGCTGTGTTAAGACCTGCCTTGAATTATTGCAGGTAAATGCTGTTAACCAATGTAATTATTAGAGATTCTTTCAAAAAAAGGTGAAGTTACATCTTGGGAAGTTATTAAATGTTGGTTTGGGACTATTAAGATACTTAATAGTAATTTCATATGATTGTGAAAATATGTAATTTTATAGTTATTGATCCTTTTAAACATCTTCCTTAGTATTCTGTTTGTTAAAGCAGCCAGCAGTTCAGCCTGGCCCAGAAAGAGGCAACATCTTGGGGAGAGGCCTATATAGACTTTGGTGTGTTAAGGCCTGCCTTGAATTATTGCAGGTAAATCCTGGAGTCAACTGAGAAGAGCGGCAGCATCCCAAGCAGTGTTCCCTCTAAGCTGAGTTAGTGTGAGATAGCTCACAGTTTTTTAGCCTCCGGCTCACACATTTTGGTCTCGGCTCAGGAAGGAGGGCTCCAGAACACACTAATTTATGCAGTAGCCAAATCACCTGCTCACAACTTTAATGCCAGTAGCTCACAAAGTAGAATTTTTGCTCACAGGACTCTACAGCTTAGAGGGAACATTGATCCCAAGTACAGCCTGGAAACCTCATATGCTGTTCCAGTATGTGTGAGCTTACAACATATGGACCTACAATATATGTATAATCTATGTGCTTAGTATTTTTTTTCTGTTCTGTGCATCCTTGTGGATGCTGAAGATATCTGTACTCAGTAACATGAAGATTCATTGCTATGAAGTAATAGCAACCAACCAGAAGTGAATGAGGATTTATATGAAAACCTCCATGCTTTGTTTATATAAAGAGTTTATTTTAAATGTTAAAGTGCATTGGTTTAAGTACATGTCTGTGTTTAAGTACATGTGTAGTAACAGCAGTTACATATTCTTAATAACCATAGGTGGGAGTTCCGCTGTCAAAACCGACTGAACCTACCCACTCTCCCTGCAGATATTAGGACCTTAGTGGGTTACAACCGGCCACCGGGAAATTGCAGATGGGGGATCATCGGCGAAAAGGCGAGGGATTTGGGCAGCCCCTGGGCACGAAGGATCCCTCCCCTGTGATCCCGCCTGGGGCTTCATCCTGGGCCTCCCTTCGACCTCCAGGGCTGAGGATTTGTTTTGAACTCCAGAACTCAGATCCCGCCTTTCAGACTCTGCCGGGGGACTAACAAAGGAAAACATCCGTCAGACGATCACCTGTCAAAACTACTGATTCCACCCCCAAGCCCAAGAGAGCGGACCTTCTGTCTTCCCAGACTGAGCTGGTGACTTACTCAAAAGGAGACCTTCCCAGGTCCCGGGTCCAAAGATCTTTCCGGAAGCCCTCTGTGACGCCCTCCTTATTGGGGAGGACCAGATTCCCTTTTAAAGTTCTCTTTATTTAGTTTAACTGGGTAGATTCTGCTGCCACCAGGAAATTTTAAGGATTTCCAAACCTTTTTACTTTTACTTTTGCTCTTACTATTTTGGTAGACCGAGTGCAAGGCTTACGAGGAACTATGTGGTCCTGGGAAGTATTTCATTCAGAGCTGGTATAAACTTTTTTTTTAATATATATATATTTTTATTGAGCACATTTCAAAACCATAAGATACAATACTAAACGTTAACAATCATCCAAATCAGAGATCAAAAACACTAT